CTAATGAATATCACTTTATGGAGGATAAATAGTTTTGTCTGATGACGTTTTATCACAAAAAGTGATTCATCTTGGCAAAGTGATACTGAGGTTACAATGTGTGAAAATTATACACTTGAGATTCAACATTGGGAAAATGTAATAAAATTAGCACTAAAACCGGATTAAAAAATCTTTCGACAACGTAATGCTGAGGAAGGGGATTAATATAAGCTCTAAGCTTGTTTCCATACCCTGTTTCTGTTTGTACACTTGTGAATTTGCTCAAATTGTGTGAAATGAAAAAATAATTAAAAAAACCCACTAACATTAGAAAAACAGTTTATCAGATATATTATTAAATGGAATTTATTTTTAATTCCCCCGGCTTTAAGTGAATATCTCACTACAAGATTGTTCTATTCACTATTTTGGAATATCGTCTCAACTGTTATATCTGTTTCGATACAGTAATGCTATGCCGTATATATCGATAAAACACGTCAATTTTTCTTGTGTCATCTTAATTGTATTGATTCAATAGGATTTACTGACCGCCAACACATTTAGTACAGGTGAGTTTTGATGGTGTAAAAGGTTTCGCCATAGACCACAAAAAGGGTGGTCAACCAAGATGTTTAGGACCAATTCTCACCACCAGAAAGATAATATTTACCCACCAGCTTACTCTGTTAGATCATATTAATTACGGAGCTTTATAATGGTGATAGTATAAGAATGAGATTTGGACACCTTTCCCCCCTCCGTGATTGTATTTCCGGGGCCCGAGGTCAGGAGGGGCTCTATAAACGATAATAAAACAAGGATATTTTATCCTTAAACCCTATACAACGCTGTACCTTCCGGGGGAAGGGAAATCTCCACAAGATTATAAAAACAAACTTATGTAAAATTATCACAAATAAAACTACATATATCTATTGATTGGATTACGGTGATGACTTAATCTTAAGTTTCCGGCTCCGATCTCACCTGTACAGGTGGATATAGTGACCACACACTGACCACTGTCCATCCCAGGCTTATGAGCGATAGCCAAGGTGGCAACTCTGGTCAAGCGGTCACTCATCTTGTCCGGAATTGTTTTTACAACAATTTCTCATTAAAAAAGAACAGATTGTGAGGGTGGAAATCGCGGCACCGCCATAGACAAAACTAATATCTTCGGCTTAGGCAGGCGAGGGTTTTATATAATATATATACTGTATCATTATAATCTTATTGAAAATTAAATTGACTTATCTACTTTGCCACTGATTTTTATAGTCATTTTCGAGAGAACTTTCTGATATTGAAATAATTACATTATTTATCAAATTAATAAAATCGTTCAAACGCGATTAAGTTTTTTTACTCGTTTCTGATACTGTTTGTGTTTTTCAGACATAATATATTTAAATCAATGACTTGTTTTGTTAAAATAATTTGCAACAAAGAACGCCTTTAACTCTTGCATTTGATAGGCGCATTTATCAGTTATGTTGATCTTAAAAATACACATTAAGTTCTGTAAATTGTGAAGTTATACTTTATCTAAGGAATTTTTAATTTTTAATCTTTATTTTTTTATTTTTTTGCGTGTATTTTAAGAGGGAGGGATAGTCTAACGAGTGTGTTATCAGTAGAGAGAAAAGGGTTTTGCTACAAAATATCACAATTCTGACATAACTCTTTAGAATAAACCTGATAGAGTTAGGAAATAATTTCTTTCCTCCTTACAGGAACAACTACTGAAATAAGAACGATGATTTTTTTGTCCATTCTCTTTAGAGAACCATTTAGAAATAACTTCATACTTTTCCAGGTCAATTCTGAAGAGAAAAAAAAATGTCTATTAACACGTGTGACACTTTCCGTGTAATGTCGCGTGTAAATGTATTCAACTTTGCAATCATTTTAATTATTATTGATAATAAGTGTGCGGATACAATGTCTTAGACAGGGGCCAAATTAACAGTCATTCCGCAAAAAAATAGAAGATTTCCCATTCAGCGGGGATTTTACAATTAGGTAGAATTATGTCACATACTCACAGTTTTTGTATGTTGAACTCATCTTTAATAACTTAAAGTCACAAACAGTGGAAAGAGTAAATTCCAAATAACTTCGGTATTTGGCATTTATACTTTTAGTTTATGTATAAATAGTCAATGACTTGTTATTGTGTCATGAAATAAATAAGTTGTAAAAACCGATTCAAAGTTGTTACACAAGACCGATATAAACGATAAATGTCAGTTTATGGAATTGTCACGCATTCAGTATTTGAAAAATGAAAACAGCTTATTAAATTTCAATTTAAACACCGACACACTGTCAAGCATTTATAAATTTTATTTTTACTATTTAAAAATAGTAAAATTAAAGTCGCTCACATTATTCTTAAAAAAATATATATCACCATATCATCAAAATTAAACATTGGAATTCCAGTTTCAAAATTTATCAATAAAGCTAGTGTCTTTCTAATAAAGATTTTAATATTTCAAATTTTCTTTTGGATTTATTTGGAAAGAAAAGACTTTCGACAAAAATAAATATTATTTCTAAATTATACATATTTAGATAACAAAATATGCTACATTAATTGGTATATTAATGTAATTATAATTAAATCCTTATTTCAAATTAAGTCTTGTCTTAAATTGAATCAATATCAATTTTTCCGCATTTTCTGTTTTATGCAATTTCAAGACGAATAATACTCTTTTTCGTGTACATATGTCTATTTCCCTGTAATTATATAATGGTATAACAAGTAATTGCTGTGTGAAGTCGAGACTAGCCAGTCTCATGTGTTTTTTACAATAGACCTTTTGGTCCCACAGACAATTAACACCGAGATGGTGTTTTGACAAAATATTTGGCCAGTAGAAAGTGGTCGAGTACACCTCGCTTTATCCAGTGGTCAAAGAAAGGTGTCCGGAGTATTTGGACACTAGCACGTCATTCATATATTGATTAACCACACTGATCAGGTTAATTGTATTAGGGCGAGAACAGACGAGCCGGAGATTTGGTCCGGTAGCCGGGGTGTCTTTTGTATAATCCCCCGATCTATGACCAGGTGTTTTGTTTGCAATATCCCAAGGGAGGGGTTAATCCCTTTAGCGCCCCAGTGTAGTAGAAACAACATGGAGTGTGTGGGAAATTTACAGAACTTTTGAATTCTATGTAATAAGAAATTAATTTGTGAATTATTATTCTTATTTTTTGTCTACAATGTGTGTCAAACAGGTTTTTACATTTTAATTTGTATTTTAGTGAAATTCATGTAGAAATTCTGTGCTTACTCTTAAAGAAAAATAATCTACGCTTATATGATGTTTTTATCTTTCTCTCAGATAGTTTCACAACAACGAAATGTAATCACACCCAAACAACTTTAAATATTTCACAATTCTACATCGTTAAGTTGTGGTGAACAGCAAATTTGGTTTTATGGAAAGGAGATTATGGAAATCAGACTTTTACTATTTACTAGAACCACGGACTTAGTCTAATCTAATTCCGTGCTAGAACACGTGGGTAAAATGACGAACTATTAAAAATCAGATTAAGGGACTGACGTACTGCTTAGATGTTTAATCTGAACAATTACAGATAGATATTTCAGACATTATTTTCTCGCCCTGCTTGTATAAACAATATTTTAATTGAAACGATATAATCTGAGTTTAAAAATCAACGAAATTGCCGAAATACTCATACCTTAGTACCGAGAATCAAACGGAATACAAGCATGTGATGTTTTCTGTAGATGTTAAATATGATAAAATCTTACAGACCACAAAACAAATACTGTCGGTAATCATACTTACTAAATGCATGTGTGTAGTTTCCAGACGAAATGTTCACACCTATGAATCTTAAAATATGATATCTACCAGTACACACGTTTACAAATCTTCACAAAATGGCAATAGGCACAACATGGGAGAAAATGAGCATGCATACATGGGAGTTGTGTATAAAGGCAAATTAAAGCATACATTTAGTTTTTCGCTATTTATTTTCTTACTACGTTAAGGTTGAGTGTTGTTTATATTGTGACTGATGAGTTTGCCTGCCTCTAAGACGTGACCATTTATAACTGATTAACGGCCCGGCAGCCATTACTGGCCCGTAGTAAACCACGAACCATGATAGAGGGGAACTCACGCTAAAAAACGTCGGGAGGAAGGCGAGAGAAAAATGGTCAGTCATACTATATAATATAACAAATGGGAACGTACTTTGTAACACCGTGTCAAATAATTACAAAACTTTTCAAATGCGTTTTTTTTATACGATGAAATTTCACATAAAGTGTGAAAGAAATACACAGAAATTAGCTTCAATACTAAATAACATGTAATATTACTTTCAATAAAATTGAAAACTTACTGAAAACTTTGACAACAAAATGAGGTAATATTACAACAAATTGAAAGTAGATGAAACAAGAGTTACATGTAACTGTTGGTATTATATATCTGAGAAGCGGGTTTGAAATGAAACAGTTACAAGTAATCGCATATCTCCGATTTAATACGCCCACAACAGAGCGACTCTTGTGGAAATCAGTGTAGCAAAAGAAATGGTGGGTTTTGTGCCGCTCGAGTAGGGTTTTATCAGTATGTGTACACGGGCAATATATCGTGATTAGAATCGTTTATGTTATAAGGCTCTGCTGTCTCATCTCGCCCAATGCCGTGGTGTGCTGATGTTATCAGGATGAAATTCGATTGTTAATTAAATAGCAGACATGCGAGACTTGGTGTAAAAAAACTTCTAACTGTGTGTTTATACACATGGTGGTCAATTTCTCGTTTTGAATTTTCAAAATAAACACTTATAAACCGTCATGGGTGGGCACTAGTTTTGTTAACAATGTTTTATAAACAGTTTCTTAACGTACGCGGCTTCTGATTGGCTGCCGTGAATTGTGCGCGTCGATCTGTATGGCTGACTGACAGCCATCGGGCCTCCAGGACAAAAAGCTACTTTACAAATGTTTACTCACCGTACGATTTATTTTAGCCATCAGTAAGTCAACTTACTCGAGAAAACAATAACATACAACAATGGGAGTATCTGGGCCGTTCTGAGCCGACTACACCCCCGGCACACGCCTCGTTACTCCTCACTTGTGCGGCTCACCTCCACGGGAGCAGACGTTTATGTAATACGGTACACTTTCATGGACAGATAATTGACACCGGAACAAATTTGTGGTGATACGCACGTCAACATTGATCATCGTCAAACCGGAGACAATCTTTTTTTCTGAAGTGACTTTTCCGTATTTAAAGACATTAGTTATAATTTTCTTTGATTGCTGTGTCTTCAACATGACGTCTCCGAATGATCTTGTTCCAACTCAGCATCAAATTTCTCAAAGCGTTGCTCACCCCGGTGTTGTCGGCGGATTCTACAGTCCCTTCGGGGCCATGGGACACGGTGTGACCCCTTACTCGCATCCCTCCTCAATGTTCTACCCACCGTTGGACTTCAATAGGGCCTACGCTCTGAGGATGATCGAAGAAATGCAACGACGGGAACAGCCACAGAAGCCGCCATTTTCCTATATTGCACTCATCGCTATGGCCGTCAAGAGCGCACCCGACAGGAAAATCACCCTAAATGGAATCTACCAGTTTATCATGGAGCGATTTCCGTATTACCATGACAACAAACAAGGATGGCAGAATTCGATCCGACACAATCTGAGTCTAAATGATTGTTTCGTTAAAGTTCCCCGAGAAAAAGGCAAACCGGGAAAGGGCAACTACTGGACCTTAGATCCTAATTGTGAGGAAATGTTTGAGAACGGCAACTACAGAAGGCGCAAGAGACGCGTTAAATCTACAGGAAAGGATGACAGAGAAAACGGTGACGAATCGTCAGCACTAGGAGATGATTTCGACGATTCTGATGGAGGCGATGATCGTTTGTCCGACGTTGGAGACGATATATCCAATAACGGCGAAGATGACAGTGGTATTAACATCTGTTCGGAAGACGACAATTCGCGGGATTCATTGGAGGCAAGGACTGATGTCTCTAGATGTGTACGGAATGAACCAAATAACAATTGTAATCTCAGAATTGGACAGTGTCCGGAAACACGGAAAAGTCTTTTTACAATTGACAGTATCATAGGAAATGATAGCCTCTCTGCCCGGAAGGACCCCGAAATGGGATCTATCAAACGGAAATCCTCGACGTCCGACGATGTGAACGGTAACGAAAACATCAAAAAGAAAAAGTTTGATATTTTTGATAGAATTCCAAGCCCCCCTCCAAAGATTATTGATTTGAAAGGACAGAACCCAACATCGCTGCAACTGTCTTTAGCTACTGCTAGTATGTACGGACATGGAGGGCTTATACGGAGCACACATCATGGAATTCCGACAAACATGTTGTCCCTCCCTGGATATGGACCTCTGGGGGGATATTCCCACCGTCCCTCCTCTCAAGAACTTATGATGCGACCCCACGGAATAACCCACCTCCCTATGAACATGGCTTTGGCCTCCCTTTGCGACAGTGAGTGGAGCCAGAGACAGGCAGGGCTTTCTCTCAGGTAGAATGATACAACGGTTTCCAGGAAGGAGTACTGAATATCTGACTAAAGTAGTATTCTTTCATAGTGTGTCTGTGATTTTTAGTGTAGAACTCGCACAAGGCATTGTGTGTATGACGTAACTTATTGTATGTGTGTTGTTTCTTCCGGAAACGCTGGCCAATGACAATACAGGTGCACGTTTTATATCCAACAAACATTGTGAGTTTTTTCAGCAAAATGATATAAATATATTCCTAACTGTGGTATATACTGACAATCGGAGAAATGTAGTGCTCATTTTGTTACAAACTTCATATTATTAAGAAATATTACAAACTATTCACAAGAAGTACATATGCATGTGTCTGGATGATTTTATCTCTAGGTGTTAGTGTAAATACAAAAATATAATTATAGAAACAAAAACTGACGAAATGTTGCCTGTTGAATATCAAAGTTTATCATGTTTTTCTTATGTTGAAGAAAAAAATAAAAAGAGAAGTATTTGAGAAAAGTTTTTTGTGTGTCTTATAACTTTGAAATTCACAAAGTTTCTCATATACGCATTATTTTACAAACAATGTATGATAAACGTTGTGAATTTGATTTATATTTGTTATATAGCTGATAGAGTAGGAAAATTAGAAATTGTTTCTTATTGGAACACGTGTTATTTAAAACACGGCATTGAAAGAACAGTAATTTCTCCTCTCAGTGGATAATATCAAACTGATCCGTTTGTCTTTATTTTCTCGAAACGAATGTTAATTACAATAATAGAAAGTATATTCCATATAAACAATGTTAACATATGCTTTAATGAATAATATATTAAAAACTTATTTACCGAAAATAAATTTAAAATTTTATTCACAAGCACCTCCTTATACCGTCTGTTTCTGATTGGTATACAGTTTGCTATTAACTTCTTGTTTTAATTGTTTTTAGAATTGAATGTGACATTGTAACCTTGAGAAATAGTCCGTATACAGTCTGATCTGATGGGTATATAGTTTGATATTAACTTCTTCTAAAAAAAGAAGGTTTAAAGGTGACATTGTACCATTCAGAAATAAGATAATCTCTTTACGTGATACCAACTGTAGAAATTTATAATAAATATAATTTGTTGAGATGTTTTAGAATCATATAACTTTAACACCATGAAATAAGTAGAAAGTGGTATTTCTACAGACATGAAATAATGAAAAATATGTCTTCAATATTTTGTATTTAAGCGTCAACTTTGACATTTTGAAATATTGACTTACTTAATTTCAAGATATAAATTTGGAGAAACCAAAAAAGGAAAAACTGCAATGCCATGACAAGATCTTCTCGTGTATTATAGTATTTCATTTTGCAAATTTATTTGCAGATTTTAGAAAATTTACATTATCTACTTAATCACATGAGTGTAACTTTCTTAAATATTGGATGTGGGTCTATAAATTCTGCGTTCATCGTTATACATAAAGATATACAAAAAATGTAATTTTAGTTTTCAAAGATACATTAGATATCTCCTTAACCCGTCTTTTTTAGTCCAGATTCTCTTATTACACAAGCTCAGTAATTAGTTCATTTTTTCTCATTGGCACGGGCTAGTTAATTTGTTCAAATTCATTAATTAGCACGAGCTTAATATTTTTTCTTAAGAGCACGAGATAAATGTTTCGTATACTTATTGCATTCTTGAAGCGTTAAACATATCTTAAGTTTCTGGATAATTATAATCTTCTGTTTTTTGCTTAACCAACAAACAACAATCCAACATATTCCGATACAAAATGAAAACAGCGTTACAGAGGTAAGCATCTACTCACCAATACACAGTTACGGGCATCGAAAAAGGGAAGTACACATACCCATGTCTTTGCTTGAATGACAATCATTTTGAAGTCACAAACTTTCAAGTCAAATTTTCCGATCTGGTTTTTTTTTTGAATTTTAACTCAATCATATAGGAAACATTTATGTGTTTACTTACTTCGTCTTGCCTACATATGTATCTGTATGATGTATTCAATGAACAGATACCATCGTAAATGACGTAAAACTCGTGATGCTTTGTATTTAATTTTGTTATTTTTTCTTCTTTTATTTAAATTTTATTTCGCAATTCATAAAGTTATTTTTTTTTTTTTAAATTGGTACGTAAAGATGAGAAAACAAGCTGCAGAACTAGTTTGTGAATTCCACTCTAACATTATGCCATTAAGTGGTATCCGTATTTCTTTAGTTCTATAATTACACAAGACATGTACCAGTGCATACGTACCATGAAACTTGAGAATACAAGGCTTCGTCTTACCTGCCGTTTTATCTTATTAACGCTATTTACATGATCACGTTTTTTATATACTGTTTTCACGCCAAATCTGTTTAAATCAAAACAAAAGTCTGAATTAGAATTAAAAATAGGATATTTGCAATATAGAATCTGTTTTGAAAAAAACAAATATTAGAAAACTGGGGAGAGGAAAACAGTTGGTCATCAACGAGATTTTCCAAAACAAACTTGAAGTTAAACTGTTACATTATATAAGACCCTCTACGCGCTGCCAACCGGGCTAACAAGGGGATATCATATAAACTGATACAACTTCTTTAACAAATTGTTATAAAACGTATAAAGTTACATTTCAGTTAACTGTTCTCTAGGACCATTTACATAGTCATGATACTAATATCTACAGGTCTAACTGTTGTTTGAAATATACGACTATTATTATTTCCTTTATTTCCTCCAAAAATGAAGAGTTACAGAAATAACGAACAATACATTTACAATTCGAACACTATTGACAGAGAAGAAAATGCATTCACGCTCATGGTCACACTCTTACATTGTGACACACGTGCACATCTATACTATTTGAATACTTGTTACTACTCCATATATAATAATATACTTGTTACTACTCCATATATAATGATTGACTTGTTACTACTTCATATATAATGATTGACTTGTTACTTCTCAATATATAATGATTGACTTGTTACTTCTTCAAATATAATTATTGACTTGTTACTCTCCATATATAATGATTGACTTGTTACTACTCCATATATAATGATTGACTTTTTACTTCTTCAAATATAATTATTGACTTGTTACTACTTCATATATAATGATTGACTGGTTACTACTCCATATATAATGATTGATTTGTTACTACTCCATATATAATGATTGACTTGTTACTACTTCATATACAATGATTGACTTTTTACTCTCCATCTATAATGATTGATTTGTTACTACTCCATATACAATGATTGACTGGTTACTACTTCATAAATAATGATGGACTGGTTACTACTTCATATATACTGATTGACTTGTTACTACTCCATATATAATGATTGACTGGTTACTACTCCATATATATTGATTGACTTGTTACTACTTCATATATAATTATTGACTTGCTACTACTCCATATATAATGATTGACTTGTTACTACGCCATATATAATTATTGACTTGCTATTACTCCATATATAATGATTGACTTGTTACTAGTCGATATATACTGATTGACTTATAACTACTTCATATATAATGATTGACTTGTTACTAGTCCATATATACTGATTGACTTGTTACTACTCCATATATATTGATTTACTTGTTACTACTCCATATATAATGATTGACTTGTTACAACTAGATATATAATGATTGACTTGTTACTACTTCATATATAATGATTGACTTGTTACTCTCCATATATAATGATTGACTTGTTACTACTTCATATATAATGATTCACTTGTTACTACTCCATATATAATGATTGACTTGTTACTCTCCATATATAATGATTGACTTGTTACTACTCCATATATAATGATTGACTTGTTACTACTCCATATATAATGATTGACTTGTTACTACTCCATATATAATGATTGACTTGTTACTACTCCATATATAATGATTGACTTGTTACTACTCCATATATAATGATTGACTTGTTACTACTCCATATATAATGATTGACTTGTTACTACTCCATATATAATGATTGACTTGTTACTACTCCATATATAATGATTGACTTGTTACTACTCCATATATAATGATTGACTTGTTACTACTCCATATATAATGATTGACTTGTTACTACTCCATATATAATGATTGACTTGTTACTACTCCATATATAATGATTGACTTGTTACTACTCCATATATAATGATTGACTTGTTACTACTCCATATATAATGATTGACTTGTTACTACTCCATATATAATGATTGACTTGTTACTACTCCATATATAATGATTGACTTGTTACTACTCCATATATAATGATTGACTTGTTACTACTCCATATATAATGATTGACTTGTTACTACTCCATATATAATGATTGACTTGTTACTACTCCATATATAATGATTGACTTGTTACTACTCCATATATAATGATTGACTTGTTACTACTCCATATATAATGATTGACTTGTTACTACTCCATATATAATGATTGACTTGTTACTACTCCATATATAATGATTGACTTGTTACTACTCCATATATAATGATTGACTTGTTACTACTCCATATATAATGATTGACTTGTTACTACTCCATATATAATGATTGACTTGTTACTACTCCATATATAATGATTGACTTGTTACTACTCCATATATAATGATTGACTTGTTACTACTCCATATATAATGATTGACTTGTTACTACTCCATATATAATGATTGACTTGTTACTACTCCATATATAATGATTGACTTGTTACTACTCCATATATAATGATTGACTTGTTACTACTCCATATATAATGATTGACTTGTTACTACTCCATATATAATGATTGACTTGTTACTACTCCATATATAATGATTGACTTGTTACTACTCCATATATAATGATTGACTTGTTACTACTCCATATATAATGATTGACTTGTTACTACTCCATATATAATGATTGACTTGTTACTACTCCATATATAATGATTGACTTGTTACTACTCCATATATAATGATTGACTTGTTACTACTCCATATATAATGATTGACTTGTTACTACTCCATATATAATGATTGACTTGTTACTACTCCATATATAATGATTGACTTGTTACTACTCCATATATAATGATTGACTTGTTACTACTCCATATATAATGATTGACTTGTTACTACTCCATATATAATGATTGACTTGTTACTACTCCATATATAATGATTGACTTGTTACTACTCCATATATAATGATTGACTTGTTACTACTCCATATATAATGATTGACTTGTTACTACTCCATATATAATGATTGACTTGTTACTACTCCATATATAATGATTGACTTGTTACTACTCCATATATAATGATTGACTTGTTACTACTCCATATATAATGATTGACTTGTTACTACTCCATATATAATGATTGACTTGTTACTACTCCATATATAATGATTGACTTGTTACTACTCCATATATAATGATTGACTTGTTACTACTCCA